CTACCTTTGCCCCTGTGGAAAAATTGACTATTGTTCGATTGATTATTTATCTAGCTGCGGAGTACTCTTGGCCTTTTCATCAGTTGGATGTGAAGAATGCATTTCTTCACGGTGATCTAGATGAGATTATTTATATATGATGCATCACTGGGCTTTCGTGGTGAGGGGGAGTATGCTGGAAAGGTTTGTCGACTACGTAAGTCTCTTTATGGAATGAAACAGTCACCACGAGCCTGGTTCTCTTGCTTTAGTGATGTAGTTGTACATTTAGGATTCACCAGATGTCATTTTGATCATACTTGCTTCATTCAACGGAATACTTTCGGATAGTGTGTCATCTTTTTGGTATATGTTGATGATATTATTATTACTGGAGATGATGTTTTTGGGACTGCGCAGGTTAAGGTAGACCTTGGGAAGGCCTTCGATGTGAAGGACCTTGGATTTTTACGATACTTTCTTGGGATTGAGGTTGCCTGTAGCAGCAGAGGTATTGTTCTTTCTCAAAGAAAGTATATTTTGGACTTTCTCTCAGACACTAGGATGTTGGGGTGCAAACCGGCATCATCACCCATGATTCCAAACCTGAAGCTTACTGTTGAAGGTGAGGAGTTAGGAGATCCGACTGTCTATCAGAGGTTGGTAGGTAGACTTATTTACCTAGCCAACACTAGGCCAGACATTTCATTCGCTGTTAGCCGAGTTAGTCAGTTCATGCACAGACCATGTCAGCCACATCTTGATGCAATTTATCATATTTTTCGGTACCTCAAGTCTTGTCCTGGACTTGGGTTGTTCTATGCATCAGGATTTCAGATTCGTTCTCTAGCCTGTTATTCAGATTCAGATTATGGGGAAGCATGTAACGGTCGTTCTACTACGGGCTTCTATGCTTTTCGAGGGACTCATCTTATCTCTTGAAAAAGCAAGAAACAGTTAGTTGTCTCTCGTTCGTCAGTAGAGGCAGTGTATCGGGCACTGACACTTGACACATGTGAGATTATCTGGCTACGGTCAATTCTTGGTGAGTTAGGACTTCCAGTGACTTCTTCATCTACTTATATTGTGATAATCGATTTGCTATTCAGCTCGCTTCTTATTCTGTATTACACGAGAGGATGAAGCATATAGAGATCGATATTTACTTTCTTCGAGAGAAGGTTAGCAGTGGTATTGTCACTCTATCATTTGTGGGGACTAGTGATCAGGTTGCGGATGTTTTCACCAAACTTGTCACTCTATCCATTCTTCGGGACTCTATTATCAAGCTTGGCTTAGTTGACATTTTTGTGCCTAGCTTGAGGGAGAGTGTTGGAGATATAACAACTTAGTTTATTAGAGTTTATTAAGTTTATCTTTTTTACCTTTTTATCTTTATTGTAACTTTCGTTGACTATATATATGGTGGCTCTACACTTAATTTGTATCTCTTTTTCTCTTTCAAATATTTCAAGTGATCAGAAAAACAGAATTGACTAACAGTTGGTAGTAGAATTTCCTTAATATGATCATAAGGATTTTATGAATCAACCTGTCGGAAATATATGGTGGCTGCTGAATTAAATTCATGGCATTCTTGCAAATCAGAAGAACATCATGCTGTATAATGATTGAAAGAATAACGGATTAGCCAACAGTATATATAATTCTGCAGGGTTAATTTGGTACAAACATATTTTTTGATACTTTTCTCTCTCTCTCTCTCTCTCTCCAAATTTTGAACCACACAAATCTCCACCGTTCTCTCTAGGTAGTGTGTCATTTAAACAATGAACTGAGCACCAAATCTCCACAAAAGATAACTATCTTACCAGTCACACTAATCTGCTCTTTGTAGATTGTTAGTGACAACCTAATTCCCAACAAAAATAAATTATAGTTCATAACAGAGCAATCCTCGAAGTCTTCTAAAGTTTTATGCATGCCCTCTCGCGACCAAAACAATCCTGAGATCATTATGAAATCATACTCTAGTTGCTAAAACTTAAGATAGATAAAACAGTGATTTTTTGTGTGCAACTACAGAAAATATATTACCAAATTGACAATTCATTTAAGATTTAATCTTTAATCGAGCATAACATAAGAATAAGTATACTCTGGGGGGTGATTTCTGGTGTCCTGTCACTACTGCAAATAGTTGACACTAAACAAAGTGCAATATTGTTCTTTGAAATATCCAGTTATGTGCGCCTACTCAACGCGTCACTTGAAGGCGTCCTAACATGATTCCTGGACACATACAACTTGAATAGAAAGAGACGAAGGGTTAGGGACCGGCTGTATGAGCTTAGTGCATTTTGGTAGAAGGAGGTATTCCTTCGTTGTCCTAAGGGATGCTCCAAGGGTCTTAGCATGGACACTAGAGTTGAAATGTAGTCATGATAGATAACCACTATTGATCTGATTGAGTGTCACCTATGTCCAAGCCAGATGTCCCTGTAGGTTCACCACATTGCCCTTCCTCATTCTAGTTTTTACGTTAGGTCATTCCCCCATCATGTGCATACACCTCTTGCAATGGATCCCTGTAGGTCCGGCTTACACTCATCACTAGTTCTCTGCCACAAGCTTACACATTAAGTCTCATTCTTCAGACCTGACAGCTGAGCATCAAGGGTACAGTAAAAGTTTTTTCTCTTTGTAGTTCCAAAAGAGAAAGAATGTTAGTTGAATTATGCTGATAAGAAATGGTGGAATTGCTCATGAAGATAATTTCTTATTATTTGCACTACATATTGAATTCGATAAGGTAATTCTAAATGATTATTCCAATTATTCGGAAGCCATTCATTTCTTTTCCAAGACACAACATACTACCATGTGTGGACTCCAATATGAATACTTTAGGCATGTTTCTTTATCTGATTTCCTAGAAATTGCATCTCCATCGTTAGTGAAGATTCTCCTACCACTGGATTTCTGTTCCGAAACTCCCCAAGACAGTGATTGTAAATTGCCATTTGCGACCGAGAACTTCATCTATAAATTGTGATACTCATCAAGTATGTTTGTAATGACAGGTCACATGCCACATGCATATTTGTCCTCTGACTCTTCTCTATCCATTGGAAGATCACAAAAGGAAAGCTTTTCATATATTTTGATAGTTACACAGAATCTCTACACAGCCCCTTCTTGTATGCAACATTGAAATCACATTTAGCAGTATCTATTTCAAATTATAGAAAATGCAAGCACTCTCAACTCAAATCAACAAAGTCTTAATCCCAACTATTTGGGTCAGCTACATGAATCATATTTCTTCATTGTGCTCTATCAAGGTTCCTATTTTCTATTAACCCACAAGCTATCCTATCCTTTTGTACTATTCATTCAAAGTTATTTTAGATCTAACTCTCGTACTACCATCGATATGTATCATATCACTCTTCCTTACTGGTGCATTACAAGGTCTTTTATAAATATGTCAAAGTCACCCAAGTCGTTTTCCTCTTAATATATCTCCTATTGGTGTTATTTCTATGGTTTCACGAATGTACTCATTCCTAATTCTATTATAATATGTTATTTCTTAATTGCTCAACCTTCTATACCATAAAGTATTGTCGGTCTAATGGTGGTCTTATAAAATATATCTTTCAATATAAGGGGTAAACGTCGATATGCAAGCCATACTTGGTCTAAATATTATTGTACATAATGCTGCCTAGATAAGTATGACAAAAACCATTCCAATTCCTCAGATATCAGAACCCATTATTGACAAGCAGCAACCCCATTTCATTTCACCTCTCATTAATCCCAATAGCCATTGTAACATCTCAAATCCCCACAAACTCAGCAGAGAAAACCCAACGCCATTTGATATAAAACTTCACATGAACAAGAAATTTAATTCAACATGCAATAAGCCTAAAGCTATCGTGCATGTCTGAGTGCTAATATATGATATGAACATATATACAAAAACAAGCATACATTCAAACAAGACACAAACATAAATAAATACGTAATGATGAGTACCTTTTGGGTCCTCTGCGAGGCTTTTCCTCTTGGGTCCCCTCTTGGGCTTGGGCAGAGGCTTAATGTGACCGCTGCCCGAGGCCTGCATGGCAGTTAATGGTGTGGCATTGTTCTGAGAAGCTTCTTCTTCTTCTTGGGTTTGACATGGGTGTTGTGGGTTGTGATGATGCACAAAATAAACTTATGCACAATTAACAGTCGAGTGTATAATGTTGATTAATTAATGGAGCAATTAATAAAGGAGACGAAGAGTGGGTCAACACATAGCTGTATAGTGGTTCGGTCAGTGTGACATACTCCACTCCGAAGACGGCAACAGTGGCCAGAGACTTTTGTTAATAAAGTAAGGTGAGAGAGTGAGACCAATGGTAAGCTCTGTGAGAGGTTGGATAGCTATGGGAGAGATAATTGTGTAAAGAGTGTGTAGAGAGATGTTCCTCTCATGTGAAAATGACTTACAATTTATAGGTACAGAGCTTTGGTTAAAACGGTGACGTGATGGGTAGACTACTAACTTTACGGGGAGGATAACTACAACTAGAATAGACATAATTAAAGATAGTCTTGATCTTCAAGAGTGGATGCGCTAATATTCCCGGATCCCTTGAATCTTGGTCTGAGCTGGATTCATGAACTGGGTTTGACCTGCCTTGTAGTTAATGAGTGCTTACTTAATTAATTGGGTCTAACCCAGTTGGATTCGGGCTTATCACTTGCCCCCATACCCAAGCCCTGATTGCGACAAAGGGAGTTAGGGGTATGAGTGAGGCTCTGAATAGGCAAAAGATTTCTTGTTCTCCAGTGTAATAATCTCCTCAACTTCTTGCTCCGTTAGCATCTTTCGAGCTTACTTTTCCATTTTAGCTGAGCATCTACTGTGCTACCACCATTCCAGAGTAGACTCTATCCTCTTCATATTTAAAGGGTCCCACCCTCCACCTAGGACACAATTTTTGAGAGTTTCAAATCTTCCACTAGAGATTGTGAGAGATCGAAGAATAGGAGTTTCATGGATGATGTTCAAGGAGAAAACCCATAAGAGGAGGGGAGAGGAGCAATTCAAGGGGCAAACCACGAGGTGGAACAATAGCTCGGAGGAGAAAAAGAGCTGGGCAGTGCCAGCGAGGTGCTGGTCGATGCCAGCACACTAGGCCTCGATTTGGGTGAGGCTCTCACTGATGGCAGTTCCAAGGTAACGATGAGAGGGTCTAGGCATCACGACGAGAGGCTTGGGCGAGTCCTTAGTCCGAGTTGCACGGGCAACATCATTGGCAGCTGTTTAGGCGATGCCACCACATCGCGCAATGAGAGTAAGGGGACATTAGGGGCGCCCATGATGGGTATGGTCTAAATGGCAACGCCATTGGGGCCATTGATCTGAGCAAAATTGGAGGCTACATCGTGTCGAGCCAAGCGCTAGGTGACACCAACGAGGCGCTGGGTGGCGCCTTACGTGGTTCTTTCGATGCTTCAAAAGGTGGCGTGTTGGAGTGGATCCAATCGTTGGGTGACGCTAGTGATGTATTGGGCAGTGCCAGCATGCTAGACGACATCGACAGGTTGAATGGGTCTAGCGAGCATATGAGACTAAGAAGTAGCTGGGGCGAAGCTAGAGTAGCTAAGTCCACGAGCAACACTGGAAGGGAGAATAGCGCCACTCAGGGTGACGTCTGTATGTTGGGGTCGTTGGGTGGTGTCAGGCATACACTGGGCACACCAAGCAAACGCTGTAGGTTGGGCACCGGTCATGACAGTCTGGGCGGCACCAGTGGTGAGATTTCTCAAGGTGAGGTGGCCACCTGACTTTCTTGTTGCCTCTGTTGGATAATAAGACTATCCTGACCTCAACTTTAATTTTTTTAGGAGCCCGATCTGGTGGAGGCAGGTTGAAGGATACTACATGAGGCTCACAACAAGGCAAGGGGATCACTAAAGGTGACAGTTCGAAGGTAATCTCCATATTTAGTTCTATAGACGATGATGATGAGATTGCCTGCGCGTCATATCTTCGTATTGTATTTCTCCTACTATTATATGTGACCGGGCTGAGGGGTACGAGCTGGCATGTTACGACTTCTCGGGAGAGATTGTTCTTTACGAGGATGTCCTAGAGGCAGGGTTGAGATTTCTCATACCTAGACACATCTGTCGGATTCTGGGACACGTATCATAGGCTCTAGGGAGGTTGACTCCTAACGGTTGGAGGGTGATTATGACATTCTTTTCTCTTTGGCGGTTGGTCCACAGTGCTAATGTTCCTCCCCCTTTAGAGGAGTTTTTGATTTCGTACATGTTTTTGGAGAACCCTACTCCTCATCAAGGGTAGTATTGTTTTGTCTCGAGGTCAGGTAAGCTTATTACTGGACTACCCTCGAATTGCCATAGCTTCGTCAGAGGCGAGTGGCCCGCTGAGGGAGAGCGTGACTTAGTGCCTTCAAGGTGGGACACTGTTCCGAGGACCAAGTTAGGTAAGAATTTCAACTTTGCTTTTACATCTAGTCGTCATGTCCTTGTGCTTACTATGCGTTTGGTTTCTTTGCAGCTCCACCCACATTATCTGCGGAGTAGGAGAGTAGGCTCCAAGTCATGCGGGATCATCCTTTCAAGGAGTTTTCAGCCATCATGTCTGCATTAAGTCATCCCAAAGCCTCCCCTAGATAGAAGAGAAAAGGTATTTGATCCTTCTAGTAGACTCTTGATGGTTTTGATTTTGTAAGTTCTTCGTCTCACACCAACTCCACATGTTCCCCAATTCATAGAGTGATGGTGGAGGCTCTTTATGCTTCCAAGGTGGCGTCTTCCCCCTTCCTCTAGGAGGACAAAGTTTGATGCCTCATGCGCTTCCTCGTCGAGGTCTGTTGGCCAGGTTAGTTCCTGGGAGGCGGGACCTGGTGATGCCCCCACTCCTCCCCCGGCTGTGACTCTATTGCATTCCCAAGATAGCCCTAACACCGCTGTAGGGATTGTGGCTCCAGTGCGGTCTTCTACGAGGACTGGAGCTCCACTTAGTCGCACTATTTCTAGTAGTGGTTTGGTATCCATGTTGCAAAACGTGAATTGGCCAAGGAGTAACTTTGGGAGTTTGTGACCACCACGGAGGCTCAAGAGGTCGGATCTCGAGATCCAGAGGGCATCATTGACACTGCTATGGAGGGCTTTGCTATGGTATGCCTTTTATTTAACTTGAATATTGTGCCTGCCTTCTTTTTCTTCATGTTCTACATGCTTGTAGGTGGCCGCCTCTTTTCCTTGCCTTTTTTCAAGGACGATAAAACTTGGAGAGGCATTCAAAGATCTGGCGATAAAGAGACAGGCACGAGTGGCTGCAGAGGAGCAGATAGGGCTCGAAAGACAGGCGCTAGAGGCTGCCGAGGAGCAATTGAGGCTAGCAAATGAGAGAGTTGCACCCCTTGAGATCAAGTTTTTGGTGTCCCGTGAGACGGCTGCCCAGTTGGAGGCTAATAGAGAAACTGCTTGCATGAGAGCAGAGACAGAGCTGCAAGAGTTCATCAAAAGGGCCGCTGGAGCAGAGGTCGAGCTATGGATTGCTCGGGAGAGGGATGTCGTGGTAGAGGTTAACCTTCAAGTAACTTTTGAGGGAGCTACTAGGGTAGAGGCTCACTCCATTGAGATGGAGAAGAAGAGGGATGTTACTGAGAGGGCCGTGACATGTGCCTTTATCGATGGTTATGAGGAACCTAAGGGGAAGGTCTTAGAAGCTTTTCCTACCTATGAATTTTTTGGCTTTGTCCCCTATGATGAAGCACTAGGGACTGATGACGAGGAGGAGAGCTTTGATGAGATTGGATTGGGGAGCAGTGAATAATGTTAAGAGTATGACTCTTTTATCTACACATGTCTCTTTTTGTTGCTAGGGCATGTTCTATCTTTTGTAAATAGTTTATGAACTTCTATGGAATGACAGTTTTTGAAAAAGACAATCTTGCAAAATTTTATTTCATAATTCAAAGTAGATAACAACAAAAATTGATTGAAACAACCATAGATGGTTTAAATGATGGCTACTGACTTATGCACCCACAGACTTGCCATCTGCTATTGGTAATACCTCTTCAGGTGTTCTGCGGGATGGGCCAGGATTTTTTCTTTAGAGTTCTGAATTTTGTAGGTACTTGGTCTTACCACTTATGTGACCATGTAGGGACTTTCTCAATTTCGATCTAGCTTCCCTTCCCAAGAGTCCTTGGTAGATAGGATGACTTTTTTGAGGACTAGGTCCCCAGGCAAGAAGGAGCGAGGCTTCACTCTCGAGTTGTAATACTTGGTCATGAGATGCTTGTACTCTGCATTCTTGAGCATGGCTATCTTTCTCTCCTTCTCTACCAAGTCGAGGTTGATGTAGAGGCCTTCTTCATTAGTGGTAGGGTCATGGTGTTGGACCTTAAGGGAATGTACCCCAATTTTGATCGGTATGTTGCCTCTATCCCATAGGCTAAGGAGAAAGGGGTCTCACACGTGGGACTTCTTGGTGTTGTCCGATATGCCTATAGTACTCTTAAGAGTTCGTCCACCCATCGCCCCTTTGCACCCTCCAATCTGGTCTTCAGGTTGCGGAGGATGGTTCTGACGATGACCTTCGCCTATCCATTCGCCTGAGAATGAGTTGGGCTAAAGTGGGGTTGCTTGATCTGTAGGTCAGCGCAAGAGCTACTAAGGAGTTTGTTGTCAAACTGTTTGGCATTATCACTTACTATGGCATAAGATACTCCAAAACGGCAGGCTATGCTCCTCCAGATAAAGTGTTTCACCTTCTGGTCTATTATCTTGACTAAGTCCTCAGCTTCTGCCCATTTAGTGAAGTAGTCAATGGCTACCACCACAGATTTGTGCTGGCCCTAACTCATGGGTAAGGGACCGAGAATGTCAAACCCCATATAGAGAAAGGTAATGGGCTCAAGATGGTGGTGAGCTTTTTCGGTGGCTATCTAGACACAGTTGCAAAGCACTGGCACTTGTCACACTTTGTCACAAACTCACGGGCATCTCTAATCATGCTAGGGTAGTAATAGCCTTGCCTTATTGCTTTGTGGGCTAGTACCCTCCCTCTAGAGTGATTTCTACATATCCCCTAGTGAATTTCTCTCATGGCATAGTCAGCTTCTTCTAGGGAGAGGTAGCAGAGTAGGGGAAGTGAGTAGCTTTTTTTGTAAAGAGTGTCATGCAAGATGACATACCTAGATGCCCTATTTCTTAATTTTTTTGGCTTTCACTGGGTTGTCTGGGAGAGCACCTTCCTCTAGGTAGGCTGGGATGGGTGTTATCTAGTTGGCTTTGGAGGATGCCCAATTAACATCGTCCTCCTCTGCCTTGAGCTTGCTTTGCTTAAACCGATGGTCTGTCAGTGCTAGGCCCATGAGTATGTTGGCAGATGCGAACTTGGCAAGGGCATCTATCATGGTGTTCTCCTCTCTAGGCACGTGGTGGATCTGAAAGTGGTTAAACTTTTTCAATAAAGCTTGAACCACTAAAAAGTATTTTTGCATCTTTTCCTCCTTCGCTTCAAAGTATCCCTTTACCTGATTGACTATCAGTTGTGAGTCGTTATAAGATGTTAGGTAGAGGGTTTCCATTTCCATCTCAAACTTCAAGCCTAATATGAGGGTCTCGTACTCTACTTGGTTATTTGATTCTACGAAATGGAGGAAGATGGTGTACTTCATTGGGGTGTCATGGAGGCTAATTAGTACCAACCTTGCGTTACCGCCCTTGCTAGTGGAGGACCCATCGACATATAGTCTCCAGCCTCGTATAGTGCTAGTGAGGGACACTTGCTTAGGTGTAACAGGGCACACAGGTAGGTGCACAACAGGTTGTAGCGTTGATGACTCTAGAGAGGTAGGTGAATAAGAATTGGTGCCTCTAGCCTAGGAGTTTGGGCTCCAAGGGGTTGGAGTGCCTTTTCTAGGGTGCCAGGCTCTCTGAGGATGGTGCTTGGACTTGCCTCATGGTGACTGGAAGCGCTATGTACAGTGCAAGTGAGCGTAGGGGCACATGGTGGTTTTTCTTGTGGTTGTTTGAGCGGTGTAGATTCAGCCGCAACTACTTGCGCTTTTATGGCTGCCCTCAGCTGGTACTACATGTCAAACTTACTCAATTCAACGACCCATTTGAGTAGTTGACCAGACACTTCAAGCTTTCTCAAGATTCTCTTGAGTGATTGATCTGTAACAACCACGATGGTATGGCTCTGAAAGTAGTGGCGTAGGCGTCTGACGATGGTGACAAGTGCGAGAGCCAACTTCTTAAGCTTTGAGTATCTTACATCCACTCCTTGGTATGCCCTGCTTATATAATACACAGACTTTTGGACACCTCTATCCTCCCTAACAGGGACAGAGCTCAAGACAGAAGACAAGGAAGAAAGGTAGAGGTACAAGATCTCTTCTGGTAAAGCATGGGAGAGCAAGGGGGTGTAATAAGGTGGGCCTTTAACTTCTGGAAGGGCTTCTCTACATGTGGTCACCACTGGAAAGATTTAAGATGGATTTTAAAGAAAGACAGACATTTGTTTGCTGATTTGAGACAAATCTGTTGAGGGCTGCTATCCTCTCGTTGAGGCGTTAGACCTCCTTCATAGAGGTTGGGGACTTCATCTCCATGATAGCTCTGATCTTGTCTAGGTTAGCCTCAATACCCCTTTTGTTGATCATGAAGCCTAAGAATTTCCCTGAACTAACGCCGAAGGTACATTTTTTTGGGGTTCAACTTCATCTTGTAAGCTCTCAGGATGTTAAAGGTTTCCTATAGATGTGTCATGTGATTTGCTACGACCATGCTCTTTA